GAAATGACAAGGATAGTGTGATCATAACACGCTCCATAATGAGAGACAAGTCATGAAGTAGCTGACAGTGATCAAATGCCGGATGTCAATTGGAAACGCCGAAATGCTATAACTACATATTTTTAAAAGCATCTCTACAAGGAATAACGTTAAATTCAGTCGAAAGATTATGAATACCGTTTCACTTTCTGGTAGCCAGGTAAGTGAGATATTTTCAGATGTCAAAATTAGACTGAACAGACCAAAGGTGGTCAGATAGACGTCAGACCGGAAACCCTCTCCGGGTCATCCACACTTAGGTAGTAAGTGACATGTCTTTTACCATGAAGGAATGCAGTGGTGCAACTACGTATCGGATGAACGCAATGAGTCAGTTACTTCCACTGCGGCTACAACCTGTCCTATTAAACTTCTGTGCGCCAGTCAGGTCTTTTTCTAAGGGAGAAACAGGAGGCAATCATGAATAACCCAAGTGGCGTAGCAGGCCCATATTCCGTATGCATTCTTTTTCCCCAGCTTTACCTACACCATATGAAATATCAAATACGTGCGTTCAAAGCTTGAAATGTATACTATCATTACTCTCTGTTAGTACAAAGTGAAGCCAACCTTTTGTAAACGGCCAAAAGGTAAGAGTAAAAACGGGTCATAGGCGTGCAGAATAATCACACTTATGTACCATCGGCTTAGGGGTGACCCAATTGATGCTTGCAGCAAAACATAAGGCTAGAGTCATATTAGGAGAGACGTTCAGCCACTGAGTTTCTACAGGAATCAAGGACTTGAGTGTTCTCCCGCTTCCCCTCGTTCCAAGTTCGTAGTATCTTGATCTCATTATCAGTAGCTCTTTCGGTCAAAATCTTCAATCTGAAGTTGGATAATCATGCAGTAACACATGGACTATCTCTGAGCACGGTATCTCCTCGAAACTCACGCGCCACACATTAATATTGTGTTTCATCTAAACCTGTCCTTCAGCTGTTCCCAGTTCTCGTTGTCTCACTTTTCCCACTATTCTATCTGTTGAAACGTTTACTTTTCAATTAAGGTTCATTAACAATCTATTTGTTTATTGGCTTTGAGTCTGGATAATCTCTTGCAGCTATATTATTATCTTCCCTTTAAACTACACCGGAGACCAACGGCTGAAAAGATTCACTCCATTCACAGCAGTAGCAAGGTCTTAACACGCTACATAACCAATCTCCGTACCACTCCACCCAGAGCCAACTAAGTTTACCATAACAGAAAGAAAATTTACCAAAGGCGAGAACTGTTTAATTTGCAGTGAAGTACGTGGCCTAAAAAACCAATTTGGTTAACACTAGATCGTGTAAACGATATTGGATATTGAATATCTGAAGGTTATTATAAGCGGGGTTTCAAATGCGTTCACTTTCCTTCGTTGATCATCTTGTTTTCAAGGATATATGCACGACTAGTTCACGGAATCTATGTCTGTATGACGTTGATAACGATGGGGTAATGTTTTTTTCGGGTTTTAGTTTTATTGCACCTATGTTATGCTCAAGCTTATAACATATATATATTCTCACGAATAATTACTTTAAACTGTCAACGAAATGTATATGCAAAACACTAGTGCATTTAATAGTAAAAGGGATCTCACCAGTGATACTGCAATATCCATTTTTAAAATGGCTGAATGAGAAATGAATGAGAACTTAATGTTAGAAATTATGAACATGAATTATAAGACATATAAATTAGTGAATAATACAAAATCACACGTTTAATAAAAATAGAATTTTTTACTTTCATAATAAGTGTCAAATACCTTGTATCTGATTCAGAACTATAGTCCTGGAAGTGTAGGCTACTGAATTCATGTTATACAGAACTTGCCTAATTTCACACACTAGTCAAACTCTACAACTAAATGAACAACGATGAACTTTTCCGACAAGTACCCAAACAATTACCTTTCAATCCCATAAAACATTTTTCGACACCAGCAATGAGTGATTCAGGAATTAACGGTTTGCACCTGAGAGTTTCATCAAAAATTGATGAAAAATATAGCACTATGGTTGATCACCTCAACAGACGATGTTGTATAGATTCTGTGAAAAATGAAAAATACAATTATTTGTGAATGTCATGCGTTCGAAGTTGTTTTATTGTTCTATACATAAAAGCCAACTTAAATTATTCCCATTATATGACTGCAAAATACTTTTTTCTGGGTTGATTTCCCTGAAAGAAGGAGAGCAATATTACATGTTGATTATAACGTGAGTCATGAAAATTGCTGAAAATACGCAATTAAACTGTTCTGTTATCCTCATAGAAATACTTAGATTATTCAAAATATGTTCATTTATAAGGACATCTTAGAACTAGTTAAAACTCACCTAGAGCAGATTTTTCACGTTGAAGGGTGTGATCCGCTCGCTAGTTATGTTACCTACTTCAAGCGTAGGTGGTACAGATCCAAGCACATGACACTGACTTGGAGTCGAGTGCTCAGACCAGTGAACTATGTCAGACAGTTGTACTGCTTCAGGTTCCTATCCAAGTTTATTGATCAAAATTTTCACAATACATGCTTCATAATCATATTAGTTATTTTCCAAGTGCATTCTTCAAATGTAACTTTACTTTTTAACGATATTATTCGTAGGTCTGTGATCTAAGAGCCTAAGCTCCTTAGTTTGGGTTAATGTACGTGAGGTGTACATCTCAGCCGACCTAGTAAAGTTTTATTAATCTAGGAAAAATACTATTCTTTACTGCTTTGTCCATAATCGCGGACTTAAGTGTTACACTTGCAACTTAGATGTGGTTGCCATCAGTCAACCAAAATTCTAGGTCAAGGGGAGCTTCTTGCCAACAGTAATTTAATATCATAGTCCTTCTTGTGTTACAGCCTACATAGTGTAGATTGTTATTCTGTTTTATAATTAAGGTTTCAAACGTCTGCGC